TGCTCCTTCTGGCGTCTGAAAAACAACCTACGGGCTTGAAGCAGTGGCAACATGGGGGAGTCCCCTCCTGCCGAGCCCCATTCCTGGTCTAAACAGTGCTGTGCATTTCTTTACACAAATACCTCTTTTCCCCTTTTGGATTGCTCCTCCGCAGCTGTTTTAAACCTGAAGTGTGTGTGTTGATTCAAAGGCAGCACGCTGTTTTAGAGCTGCCGGGCTGCTCTCTGGAAAAATAAGCCCCTTTACAACCTTTCCTGCAGCGTGTCTCCTTTCCTGAGAGCAGCACCAGCACTGCGTTTTATTATTTTTATTTACCTTTGGTCGCTTTCCTTAGTTCCCACCACTGTGTGACTGGAACTTGAAAGGTGCTGCAATTTGCATTCCCAAGGCTGCCTGGAGGGGTTTTGTGCAGCAAACCATCAGCTATGGCCAGAGACTGAGGAACACCTGCTCTGCTCTGACCCTGCTTCCCCAACTAGAAACACCTTCTCCAGGAGGTTCTCTGCCTGAACAGCAGTCCCTGCTGGGCACCGGGGCCCCCACTGGCTTTACCCAGCCCCACCTTGTCTCCCATGCAGAGAATCACCAAATGGTGGATGCTCAGAACTTGGAACTGTAGCCCAGAACATCCCAGAAACTTCCCAACACAGGCTCTTCCAACACTGTCAACATCCGTTTAGCTAAACGTGTTGGGTAGCAGGTCCTGGTTAGGTGATGATGGTCCTAACTGCACTGACTGAGGGCCTACTGTGTGTCCTGACCTAAATGAGCTCATCTGATGCCCACAATTCCAGGAAGCCAGTTCTACTATTACACCAGGGACACGATGAGAACCTGAGGGTCAGAGAGGTTAAGCCACTCGTCCACGGTCACACAGCAGGGGCAGACCTGGAAGGCCCCTGGGCTCCAGCCTTCCAGCTGCAGGGGGGATGGGGACCCCAGAGCCCCAGGAGGGCAGGCCTGGGGTGTGACTGGGAGGGACAGGCTTGCTAGGAGAAACCTAGGAGTTAGCTGGGGGGGGGGCCTGAACAGGGTTCCAGGTCAGAATGGGCCTCTCCAGGCCACACACTCTCCCGGGCGGGGAAGGGGATAGACCCCCAGGCCTGTCCCATCTCCCACCATGTCCTGAACCCAGCAAGGGAGCAACACACCTGGAGCCAGCCTCAAAGAGCCCCCTCCCTAGGAGCCCCAAGCCCATTTTGAAGGCGCTCCCCTCCCCTGACACAATCCCCCTGTGGGGCCACATGAGACATGGGTCTCACAGCCCAGTCAGATCCCGGGGTCAGAGGGCACATCCACAGGCCTGTGGCTGGCAAGAGACACAGACCGAGACACTTCCTCTGTCTGGCACAGCAGTTCCCACCAGGTCGGACTTCTCAGGGGGCAAAGTCCAGATCCCAGGCCTCTGCCCGGCAGTGACCCCTGCCTGGGGTTGACGAGGTCCCTCAGGATGTTTGTGTCCAGTGAGGTGACCATCGGGCAGGAGGTCACTCCCAGCCACCTGCCTCCCCAGACCACTCCCAGCCCGCTCCTCCCCGTCCCCCAAGAGGTGTGAGGGCCAAAAGGCAGCCAGTCTTACAGCCTCCATCTCCAAGTCTCCGCGTCCGGGGTGGCCTGCTGCCGATCAGAGAGGGCATTGCAGGGAGGGCCCTCTGCTTTTGGCTGCCCTGAGTCAGGCAGGCCAGTACCAAAAGGCAGGAAAAGGAGTGGAAAGCGGGACATGTCCGCTGGAAGAGGCCTCTCTCAGATTCCACATGAGGGCTTTCAGGAGGGGGCCCGACACCAGGGCAGAGTGCGTTCGGGCGGGGAAGGCCTGTGCCGTGGGACCTGCAGGGGGGACCCTCACAGGAGGCAGGCTTGCTGAGATGAGGGGGCTTTATCTTGGGGGCACTGGGGAACCATGGTGGTCAGGGGCCTGAGGAGCCACGTGCTGGAGCCGGGAGCTGGGCAGTAAGGAGTCAAGCTGTGTCTTCTAAAGACGACCGGTGTTTTGTGGGACCAGGGAGAGATATGGGCACGAGAAACCATGGGGAGACGTGTGGCAGAATGTTCCTCTCCACCAGGGTGGCCTGGACCCTAGGAGGCAAGGTCTGTGGTTGATGCCAGCACCAGGGACATGGGCAGCTGCCTAGCTCGGCAGACACCTGGGGTGTGAAGACAGTGTGAACACCAGGAGCCCAGGCAGAGGAGATGCCAGCGGTGCTGCCACCAGAGCCCAGAGCCACCCCTCAGCCAGGCCTGCCCCATGGGGGATGTGGCCACTGTGACCAGCCTGCCACTGCCACTTGCCTCTTCCACACCAAGAAGCATGTGCCAGATCTGATGAGCTAACCAGCAGGGAGGTGAAGGCTGCCACAGAATTAACAATAAACCCAGGCACTTGTGCAGGGCCACTCCCACATATCCTCCACCCACAGCCACGAGGGACCTCAAAGCAAGAGCAAGAAAGGCGGCCGAGAGGAGACGGAGCTCACCAGAGGTCACAGTGCACTGCGGCCAGGCTAGGGCCTTCAGCCACCGAACCCAGGATTCCCGGTGAAAGCTCCGCCTGGAGATCTGGTCACCTGACAGAGGGTGTGGCTGAGAAAGACACATGGGCCTAGTGGGGCTCAAGGCCCTTGGCTGGCTCCCAGATGCCAGCCCTAAGTCTCATGACTCAAAGGCGCTGGGATGGGGAGGCAGCTACATGACCTCAACCCGTCTATGCCACGCTCCCAGGCCCCCAGCATACTCCCACATGCGGGCACCCTGCTAGGTTCTCTGTTCTATTGTACACCCCTCCTCCCCACCCCTACATATACACATACAGTTTTAAGAGCCCAGTTAAGAGCTGTGGGCTCTGGAGTCCACAGCCTGGGTTTGAATTCTGGCTCTGCCATGTTCTGGCTGTGTGACCTGGGGCAAGTCATTTAACCTCTCTGTGCCTCAAGACCCTCGTCTGTAAGATGAAAATCTTATGTCTACATACTTGGGGTTGTTGGGCGGACTCAATGGTCAGCACAATGCCTGGCATACAGTAAGTGCTCAATTAGTGTTCCCTACTCATGCTGGGACCCTCCACCCCAACAGCCAGAAGGACCTTCTGGCATGTAATTCAAGTATGGCACTGTCCTGCCCCACCCACCCCCTAGGATCCCCACTGCCTCCAGGATCCAGTCCAGCTCCCCATCCTGGCACTCCAGGCCTGCCTCACCCTCCTCTCAACCCTCATTCCTCCTGGGACCTGGAGACTCTTGGCCCTGTCAGCTGGGTTAATCTGCAAGGCTACAGTAGAGCAGGAGTGGGTGGCTTAGATGGGTCTATTTTGCTAACCCAAGGGTGGCCACAGGCTCCATGGACAAGTCCACCCCTATCCAGGTTGTGGGAGGTTTGACTCCCCTGCTCTTGGCCTGTTTCCCCACCAACCCAGTGTAACTGAGCCAGCGTTGCTGAAACTGGATAGCAACCATGGAGGCAAGTTGCTGGGGGCTTGGATTCCCCATCAGCAAGTGGAGTAACAGCCTCCTAACAGGTCCCTGTTGCACAGTCGCCCCCAAATCCCTTCTCTATAGAACAACCGGAGTGGTGCTTCCACGATGTATGCCGGCCAGGCGGCTGCTCCCTCCGTTCCCTTGGCCAACAAGGGGTCCGCTTTAGCCCACCTGCGCAGCCTCACCTCCTGCGCATCTCCAACTCTGCCAGGCCCTCTGCGGGGAGACAGCCTTCCCAGCAGGTCCTGGGGCTGACTCTCAGGTCTCACCCCACCGCTCTACCCGAAGTTGTCCCCCCCGCCCCCGCGCCGACACAAGATGTAACGAAATATCCGTGGGGTTTCCTAGGGATTTTTATGCTTCCAAGAAATGGGGAGCCCAGGTCTGTCGGTGAAAAACCCCCGGTGCCTAGGACGGGGCCTGGTATTCAGTAGATGGTCAATAAATGTGTGCCAAAACGATACCCGGCGCGGGCTACGAAAAGCGGACCCTGGCGGGCAGGGACTGGAGAACGCCCGCGCGCGTGCGCAAGAGCTCCTGCGCGGAGCTGAACTCTCCAGTCGGAGGGAATGACCGTGAGTAACCTCGGCTGACGTCACGGCTGGAGCAGGGGCGGGGCCTCGGCGGCGCCCGGGTCCCAAGCTCTCGCCGCAGCCGCCGC